TCTGGGGCTAGGGGAATCCTCTCATGAAAGTCACACAAAATGCAGAGCTGATCAGGGTCCTATTTCTGAACTCTGAGTCTCTAAAACTGATCCCCCTTCCCACCTTATACTTCTCAGAGAGAGAAAAAAAAAGAAGTTCAGAGAAGCTGCCTCCTAAGTATCAGGATTTGGGAATTGGAAGCAACTTTATAAATTATTTTTACCACTTCCCATTTATGGAGAAGTTGGAGTCTAGAAATGGGATGGTGCAAATTTTCTTCATGGGTAAACTTGTAGCAGACTGGGGACTAGAATCCAGCTCCCAATCTCCAGTCCAAGGATCCACCCACTGAAACAGAATGAGTAGCTGTTTGGAGGAAGCTGGAGCCACCTGACTATGTCCTCTTTCCAAGGGAGGCAGGCGTAGTGTTCCTCTTAGTGACTCAATCTCCGTGCATCCTTATCTATATATCATTACTCCACGACCTAACCTACCCACCCCCAGCTCTGACCTCACAGAGCCATGGCCCTGAACTCCCTCCTTCAGTCTTTTCTTCCCCCCACCTGCATGTCCTGTCCTCCAGACCCAAAACCCTCAGTGAATTGATGAGTCCAGAGCACAGCACACCCCACATACAGGGCTCGCTGCAGAGCACGTCAACCACCATCGTCTCCGTGGCAACCGGGGGCTTAATTAACAGGCTGCAGCCCTGTCACTATGACAATGGCACCCCAACAGCCCCCTATTCCCCTACAGATTCAGCCCATCTTTCCTCTTTTTCAATCTGGACCCCCTTCTCACTGCAACCACCTCCCACCCCAACCCCACCTGGAGAACTGGGGCCTGTAGTTTATTCTGGTTCATTGAGAAGCGGGAAGGGGAGATGGAGTGGGGGGGAGAGAGAGAGTGAGAGAGCGCAAGGAGCCTGTCACCATGGCAACTGCAGCCCCGTTCATAACCAGTTTGTTGCCATGGAGATTCCCAGGGCTCACCTTGGGCTGAGGTACTGGGCAGTGAGGTTCTGAGCTCCGGCTTGAGGAGGGGTTAACTGGAGAACTCCTTAGGCAGATTGGAGCTCTCCAGATCAGCTGTTTATACCAATAACCCAGTGTCATTTTTCTCAATTTATAGATAGAGAGACTGAAACATGAGGTTTGGGTGTGGGAGAGGCAGAGAACTTCACCCTTCTAGATAATCAAAGAATCTTAGCATTTTTATAGCTATAAAAACCCTCATACAGTTTCCTGTTCAACTTCTTTATAATACAGATGAAAGAATTGAGGCCCAGAGAGAGGAAGCAATGTGCCGAAGGCCACACACGGAGCCTGAACTAGAGTGTAGATGGGCTATATTGTGGTCTTGCTCCATCCCCCTAGCATAAGTTGACTCCCTCCCACTCCATGGGGATACATCCCAAGAATGCTCTGCCTTCCTCCATGAGAAACAATCACAGCAGAGAGTGGTGTAAAGGGACGGGAGAGTAGTTCAGAGTTGTAACAACTTCTATCTAGCCAAGTAACTACCAGTCTTCCCATGGTACAGATGAGACAACTGAGGCATAGGGGCTGCAGCCCAGGGTTAGTAGTAGATTCAAAGCTCAGCCTCTGACTTGTTCTTTCACCCCTGTAAGTCATGTTCCCACCTATAGCTGATGCCCTGGCAGCAGGAAGCAACTCCAGGGACAAACTCTACTCCCCTGGTCCAGAATAAGACAATGCTCATATACAAGTGACATGCAAAACCTCCCTTTAGTCTTCCTCCACCATGCATATGCTGCCATCCCTCCCTGTGGGCCTAGGTGAGGACAAGAGGTGGGAAGAGTACCTCCCTAGGGCCAGAGGGCTGATACAAGAAGAGCTATGGGAACGATACCATCAAATATCTGGTTCCCCTTGTCCAGTTCCCCATGCAGACATACCAAGGAGGAGGTACTGGGGGCTGTATCAGGGCCTAAAAGGTTAAAAGTCACTCAAATCATTCTCAAGGTAGAACTTACAATAAACTCAGCACACAAGTACCCATTCCACAGATAGACACAGAAATACACACATCAACATGCCTATCAACACAATGGCATACAGTGACACACATAAGCACTGACTCACTGACCACCTCATGGTTCATCAGAGCTAGCGTGGGATGCTCCTCCCTCAAGACACAAAGATACACAACATACACTGCCTCTGCCATAGGCACACAGCTTTCCAGATTTACATTCAGTTTGTGCACACACCTGCACATCCAAAACTGAAAGCCAAGATGAGAAAGAGAGCCATCTTATTCTCAGGCCAGGGGGTGAGGAATGAGAGAAGAGAAGCAGGGGTAGGAGAAGCAGGAGCCTACTGCCACTCCCCCTCTCATCTGATGTGCCAGGTTGTGAGCTTGGAACTCGGAACACAAAGATAAAATGAAATGGTCTCTACTCAGCCATAAAAAATAAAATCTTGCCATTTGCAACAACATGGTTGGACCTAGAGGGTATTATGCTAAGTGAAATAAGTCAGAGAAAGATAAATACCATATGATTTCACTTATATGTAAAATCTAAAAACGAAACAAAAAGACAAAACAGAAACAGATTCAAATACAGAGAACAAAGTGATTGTTTACCGGAGGGAAGAGGAATGGAGGGGACTGGTGAAAAAAGTAAAGGGGATTAAGAGGTACAAAATAAATGTCACAGAGATGTAATGTACAGCAGAGGGAATATAGTCAATAATATTGTAATAACTTTGTACAGTGACTGATGGTTACTAGATTTATCATGGTGATCACTTTGTAAGACATATATAAATGTCAAATCATTATGTTGGATACCTAAAACTAACATAATGTTGTATGTCGACTATACTTTAACTAAAAGTAAATACGTAAATAAAATTAAAATAATAAAAAATAAAATTTTAAAAAGGATGTGGTTCCTGCCCTTGAGATGCAGGAGATACACAAGTAAGTAACTTTCATCCATTGGGACATGTGTCCTAATGGTGCAGGGGGTGGACAGAAGAGGAATGACTGCCTCTCCCTGGGAGTGAGCGAAGATAGAAAGTTTTTCAGAACAGGCTAAATGAGCTATAACTTACAGAGTGAGTAGGAGTTTCCCTGGCTACTGGAGGTGGAGAGATGAACACAGACAGGTATACCAGGTGCCCATGAGGAAAAAGTTTGAATAACAGAATAAAGGGTTTAGCTTTTATCCTACAAGCAATAGGGAGCTTTGTGGAGGGCGATTAGGGTAGGGTTAAAGGCAGCAGACCAGTGAGGAGGCTGTGGTCGTGGCCACGTGAGAGATGATGGAGGAAGGTTTGGACCAGGGCGATGGTGACAAGGAGGAGAGATGTGACCAGATTCAGGAGTTTTCAAGGTGGAGTGGTCAAGAGGTGATGACCCTCAATGGAAAGTAAAAGGAGACATTGAGAATGTCTCCGAGAGTTCCGACTTCTAAATTTGGAAAGATGGTAAGGACATTCATGAAAATGAGAAAGGGGGCAGACAGATTATGGGAAAGGTGAAGATGGAAGGAGCCCAAGAAATCCGAGTGGCCAAGTCCAGGAAGCCGTTGGTTCACGAGCTGCGACCCTGTGGAAATCTAGGCCTCAGTCTTCTCATCTATACAATGAAATCCCTAAAGGGCCCTTCTAGGGGTTTTGGTGCTTGGTTTTGCTGGAGTCAGTGTGAGCTCACCTGTGGCTCAGCAGCGACCCCTGGCGGCCCGGGGAGGCTCTTCCTCCTCCCCGCGCGGGGAGTCATCCAAGCCGACTTAACTACGTTCCTTCCACACCTGAGTGGCAAGTGCCCCCTGACAAGTGCCCTCTGCGGAGGAGACTGTGTGTGTATCCAGGATATTAACTCTTTACCGAAGGCTAAAAGGATCCCGCCCATCTTCTCTCTTCTGTACTCTGCATGTAACTTTCATTACAAGACCACTGCACTGGGCCGTTAAGGAGGACGCCCCCAATCCCTCCTGAACTGGCTCCACTCAACCCTTCTGGACCTGGAGCAGAGGGAGTTAAGTGGGTCCCTGAGGGTTGGGACTGGAGTCCCCACAGGATCCTCCCAGGATCTAGCTGCCTGAGGTCTAAACTAACTTCTCTTTCTCCCGTCTCCTTCCCGGGATGCCCGGCGCTGTCCACGATTCTTCCAGGGAGGTCGAGGATTGGAGGATCCTCCAGGCACCAATGACCCAGCACCTGCCTCAGCGACCCGAACTCATTTTTTCCTCCTGCCCTCAAACCCATCTCTATCCTCCAGGCCCAACTACCTACCCTCTGGTCCTGCCCTTTTCTGCCACCAAATCGACCTAGTCCTGCCTCCTCCCATTGGCTCTGGACCCAACCCTTAATCACATGG